ATTAGAATACATTTTTTTTCAAGCTCACATAGAACATTCATCAAGAGAGTCCATATTCTGGGTCATAAAATACACCTTAGCAAATTTAAAAGAATAGAAATCATAAAATAATGCTCTTAATATAATTAAACTAGAAATCAATAACAGATAGATGGAAAACCCAAATATTTGGAAATTAAGCAGCACACTTTTAATAACACATGAGTGAAAGAATAATTCTCAAGAGAAATGTAAAACTATTTTGAACTAAATGAAAAAAAAATAACATATCAAAATTTGGGGTATGTAGCAAAAGTAGTGCTTAAAGGGAAATTCCTAGCTTAAATGAGAAAAGAAGAAAGATCTAACATCAGTAACCTAAGCTTTCCCTTAGGAAACTAAAGAAAGAACAATAATGTAAGCCTAGAACAAGTAGGAGAAAAAATAGAGAAGAAAACAATGAAAGTGAAAACAAGAAAACAGAAAATTATCAAAACCAAAAACTGGTTCTTTGGTAGATAAATAAAATTCATAAATCTTGCCAGGGTAACCAAGAAAAAAGAAAGACCTAAATTAACAATATAAGAAAGGAAAGTGCAGCCCTGGCTCGTGTGGCTTGGTGGATTGAGTGCCAGCCTGTGAACCAAAGGGTCATCAGTTTGATTCCCAGTCAGGGCACATGCCTGAGTTGCAGGGCAGGTCCCCAGTAGGGGGTGCTCGAGAAGCAACTACACATTGATGTTTCCCTCTCTCTAAAAATAAATATAAATAAAATTTAAAAATTAAAAAAATTGGGGTTATCACTCCTAATCCTGTAGACATTAAGAAGATAATGAAGGAATACTATAAATAACTCTATGGGTACATATTTGATAACTTAGATGAAATGAACCAATTTCTTGAAAGATACACTAAAACTCACACAGAAAAAAATAAACTCAATAGCTCTCTATCTATTAAAAGAAATTTAATCAATAATTAACAACCTTCCAAAGACAGACATTGCCAAGACCAAATTCTACCAAGCATTTAAGAATCTCCAGCAAACATTTATAAATCACCAGTGAATTCCACCAAACATTTAAGGAAGAAATAATATCAATTGTCCACAATCTCTTCTATGAAACAGAAGTAGAGAGTGTATTTGACTTATCCTATGAGGCCAGTATTACTCTAATTCCAAAACCAGATCAGAGGCATTACAAGAAAGACCTGGCCAAATAGCTCAGTTGGTTACAGTGTTGTCACACATGCCAAGGTTGTAGGCATAAGAAAGACAACCAATTAAGTGCATAAATAAGTGGAACAAATCAATGTTTCTCTCCCTCTTTCTGTCTAAAGTCAGTAACTTTTTAGAGATTTTATTTATTTATTTTTAGAGAGAGGGGAATGAAGGGAGAAAAAGAGGGAGAGAAACATTGATGTCAGAGACAAACATGGATCAGTTGCCTCTTGCATGCCCCCAACTGGGGACCTGGCCTGAAATCCAGATATGTGCCCTGACTGGGAATCAAACCAGTGACTATTTGGTTTGCAAGCTGGCATTCAATCCACTGAGCCACACCAGCCAGGGTTAATGTCAATACATTTTTTAAGACATCACAAGACAGGAAAAATACAGACTAATCTCTCATAAACAGACACAAAATCCTCAACAAAATATTAGCAAATCAAATCCAACAACATAAAAAAATCACACATTTAATAGTGTAACTTATTCCAGGTTTACGAGGCTGATTCAACATGTGAAAATTAATCAGTACAATCCACCATTAACAGACTAAAGAAAAATCATAGGATCTTATCACTTGATGTATAAAAAACAATTGACAGAATCCAATACTCATGCATGATAAAAGCTGTCAAAGTAGAATTAGAGGGGAACCTCCTCAATTTGAGTTATCAAAATCTACAAGAAGCCTACAACTAGTATCATACTTGATGATAAGAGGACACTTCACTCTAAGAGCAAGAACAAGACAAGCATGTCCTTTCTCATTGCCCCTATTAGAAATTATACTGGAAGTCCTAACTGGTGCAATAAGACCAAAGAGGAAATAAAACATATACAGATTAGAATGGAGGAAACAAAACTGTCCCTATTTGCAGATGACATGATCGTCTATGTAGAAAATGCCTAAACATTGACAAGCTCTGGGTCCCAAGGTGGCAGGATGTAAGGTTAATACACAGAAGTCAACTACTGTTCTATACACCAGCAGTGAACAATTTGAAAATGAAATTAAAAAATATGGTTTATAACAATATTCCTAAAATGCAGAATGTAACAAAAGAATGTATTACAAATATGAAACAACCTTACTGAGAGGGATGGGGGAATAAGGGGCTGACATAACTTTGGAAATGGGTAAAGACCAAAGGCAAACTTTTCTCTGTATATAAATACAAATATACATACATATATACACATAGATTATTATATACCCATATATTTCCTTGCTCTGTCAACTCAGAGGGCGTAGAAGCAATGACATCCAAATAGTAATGAGTACACCAAGCACCCAGATTCTGGTTTTTAATACCATTCTCCAACCAAAGGTACCAGGGATCACTGGAGAAATCGCTGATTCTAGAACTTGGGCAGGAAATATACAAGACTGGAGCATCTTATAGTACCTGCCAGAAATAAAGTGTGAAGCACACGTACACAGAATAATGGGGGTATGTCAAATACTGGTGGATACAAAAGTCAACTGAAGGAGCTCCCAATGACCAAAGTCAGAACAACTAGAGCAATGAAAACAAAAAAGTAGTAGATTATAATATAAAGTATAAAACAAATGAATCCATGCTGATAGAATACATTAATGAAAGGGGGAGAAGTCAAATACTTTGTGCAGAATTCCAAATACTGTATTTTGCCATGCATAATGCACATCCATAGGTTTGATGCACATTATATATGGAATAATTATACCCATGTATAATGTGCATCCTTATTTTTCCCTCAAAAATTTTGGCAAAAAGTGTGCATTATACACGGCAAATACAGTACATTTTGTAGACACTCTGCCCTCAAAGAGGTGTAATACTCCACTCCTTAAGTGTGGACTGTGCATAGTGACTTTCTTCCAAAGAGTATAGTATGGACAGGGAGATATAAGAGTAACTTTACCATGGAGAATCCTGGCAAACACTACTTCAGCTAGGTGAACAAAATTAACATCAACAGTGATAATACTCATAATATGTACTGTTTATGTTTACATGATGTGATGAGAATTGCACTTTACATCTGTGGTCCTCTTCTTAAAAGCACTTGATCCCTGTGTAATCACAAGAAAAAACAAACAAGCAGACCAAAACTGAGGGACATTATACAAAATACCTAACCAGTACTTCTCAAGGGTGTCAAGGGCATCGAAAACAGGGAGTCTGAGAAATTGTCACAGGCAAGAGGAGCCTAAGGGGACATGATGACTAAATATAAGGTGGTGTTCTAGATGGGATCATGGAACAGAAAAAGGACATTTGGGAAAAACAGGAAATTTGAATAAAGTATGTACTTTGAGCTCTGGCTGGTGTGACTCAGTGGATTGAGCACCAGCCTCTGAACCAAGGATCGCCAGTTTGGTTCCCTGTCAGGGCACATGCCTGGGTTGTGGGTTCAGTCCCTGGATGGGGAGTGTGCAAGATGCAACCAACTGATGTTTCTCTTGCACACTGATGGTTCTCTCCCTCTCAGGAATTAAATAAATAACATCTTTTAAAAATATGTACATTCATAAATAATAATGTATCAATTAGTTCACTGTGGCAAATGTACCATAACTCAAATGTTAAAGGGGATATTGAGTATGGGGTTCACAGACCTCCATACCATTTTAGCAATCATTCTGTAAATCTACAACTATCCTAAAATAAATTTATTTTAAAATTTTAATAAAATTTTAAAAATAAAAATAAACTTACTTTATCAACTTATAAAAATATAAGCCAATAAAAGGCTAATGAAAAACAGGGGGTGGGATGAGGGTGGGAATTGCATGGGCCTGTTGAAATGGTAAGGCAGGGCCTGAAAGAAATTTCTTGGGAGACAACTTCTTCTAACATAAAAAGTCAGCAGACAAGAGATTAATAGAATAAAATAGCACAGCACCTGGTTACTCCGATTTTTCTCCTGGCTCTATGTCCAGTATCCAAATCCAGTGGAGATGGCTATATGCACACACACACATAAGCCAACAAAAAACTTGGAAAGGAGTATTTTGTACACCTTTATAAAATATTAATGCCCAAGTGGTAGTTGGTTTACCACCCGCCGGTGTTAAGGTTAGCTTTACTGCAGGCAGAGAATTCCCCAACCTTCTGGTGAGACACTGTGTTGCTTTAGTTCATCGTGGTCTCCAGCCCAGCAGTAATATGAGCTGTAGGAGGGTATAGGGCACATGAGAAAAGGCACAGTGCCCAAAAGATACGGCATTACTCAGGAAAGAGTGGTGCCTTCTTCTCAGCTGTCTGGACTTATTCCTGGATACAAGTGGATCCTCTCTCAGTCCTCTCCCAAACTTCAAAAACAGGGAAAAGTCAGGGGTGCTGATACTGCTGAGGAGAGGGTAGTAGCCAGCCCAATATAACTTACACACTCAGTATCTCATCTATCTTCTCCATGGTCCTGGAAAGCAAGTTTTATTCACAATTCACAGATGACAAGGCTGTTCCTTACAGCAATGTACCTGTAACAAACTGTCTGGTTGATTCCTCCACAATTTCAAGTCCCAGAAATAATGTATTACTTATCATTTCACATCCTGACAACAGGAATTTTAAGTGTCTCCACAGCCTTCATAAACTCACTGAACTGTTCATTTGATTGTTTGGTATTGTTTTCCTATTTTCATCTTTCATTATTTTCGTGATAAAAGTAATATAAATAAAAGTATTACCCACAAAGAACCACTGTTAATCTTTTAGTAGACACAGCGTTTAGAGTTTTTTCTGTATTTATATCACTAGGTAAATATCTTTGCAGTTTTATAAAAATGGACTGATGCTATATATATGGTTCTGCAAACTGTTTTCTTTTTAATTTTACAATGCACCATAAACATTATTCCATGCAATGGATGAAAATCTGCTACTGAAACATAGAGGGCTGCAGTTGGATAATGAGAATGACAACTAAAGCAAAGTATTATTAGCATATGGTTAAAGCCCTGTGCCTGGCAAATGCCTACTATGGGCACTATACAAAAGGAATGTCTTCAAAGCCCCTTTGTGGGGCCCTACAGCCACCCCTTAGTTCCCTTGGGCCCCTTGGGTGGAAAGGGTCCTGTAAACTTTTCTGCATCCACATAAACCCCCCCAATTTCTGTCTGGTTTTCTTTACCTCATCCTCTACCCTAGCCATCTCATCAAATTCTCTTATCATCTCCTCATTGCTCAAATGCATATCGTGTATGGCCTCTTTGTATTCCTTGAGGCACTGAGCCAGACCCTTGTTGGTTTTTCTTTTGGCTTTCCTGGGTACATCATCCCCAGCTGGGCGCTTTCCTGCAGCTCTTGGTTCGATGGCTGGTTTCCCTTCTTCTTTGGGCTTTCCCTCACTCTCAGGTTTCCCTTCTTCTTTTGATTTTCCCTCAACCTCTGGTTTCCCGTGGCCCTCTGACTTTCCCTCTTCTTCTGGCTTTCCCTCCTTCTCTGGTTTTTCCTTATCCTCTAGTATTTCCTCATCTTCTGTCTTTTCCTTGTTTTCTATCTTTCCCTCATTTTCTAACGTTTCCTTGTTTTCCAGAGCATGCATTACTTCTGGCTTCCCTGCATTCTGAGGCTGCTCGTTTTCCATGTTTTCTTGGATCTCTGGCATTCCTTCATTTTCACTGTAGAGTTTTTCCATGTTGAGACGTCCCCTCCTTTTCCTGTCTTGAGGAAGGGGTGGGGGGAAGAGGAGACACAAAGGAGATAAGGGAGACTGAGGGCTTGGGGGTAGAATGCAGGTCTGGATAGCACTGGCATGTTGCCCCTTGTCAGAGTTCCCCTGACCTGGCCCACCCTTTCCCCACCATTCCTCCCACAAACGTGAGCCAACCATTTCTCTGGCAAGCCCTGCCATTTTCTGTTTGCTTGGTGGAGTGTGTGTAAATGTGTTGGGAGGTGGGCAGTGGGGCCCCAAATTTTGCTGGGGCAGTGCCCTCCACATTCCCCACACCTCTGGGTCTCTGTCGAGGCACAGCCCTCCTTCACTCACCTGCGGGAATTTTGGAGAGGTTCCTTCTTTTCTAGCTTAGCAGAGTGCTGAGAACAGACACGCAGACCTGCAGTCACACAGGAAACAGGAGCTGGGCGTTCGGTGGATGCAGAGGGACTCCGATCCCTTTCCTGAATCGCAGCCCTACTCACCCAAGGTTTTCCTCCCCCACCTCCTTCGTCCTCCGCCCCCCAGACGCCATTTCTTTTCTCGCCTCCGGCGCCAGATCAGGACATTTTCCACACTAATTTTGGATCTCTGTGTCGCCTCCCCACCCTTGAGGTCATTTTTTTTTTCTCTACACACAGGGTAGGAGAGGGGGGTTATCTCCACTGTCTCACTGCTGAGGAGCCCCACAGCTCACCATCTCCGGCTCCAAAATGGACGGAAGTTCGCGAGGAGAATGTTCAGAGAAAGGGGGCTTGGGTACTCTGGGGTGTCCGCCTTCCCCACCCTCCGCCCTGTCGGTCGGTCGCTGGCTCCTCCTTAGTCATTTCCCCACCGCCAACTCTATCTATACTGCAACTGTCTTCCCTCGACCCTGACCTCATCCCCAACCTTTTTCCTTCCCGTGCCCATTCCTTCTAGCCCATTCCAATGTTCCAGAGGCAGCGACAAAAGCCCTCACACTGACCTGAAAGAACCTGGAGCAACAATTAGGAGCCTGTAAACAGCTTAGGGTCCGATCGCAGCTAAGGTAGGCTGGACCCAGACTGGTGGCCACATCTGCGCCCAGGAGGTCACGTGAGCTTACGTAACTGGGGTCACACCCAGTCACAACTCCGCCCACTAGCGGGCATATGTCAGCCACACTCTGTTTCTGGCAGATCCCCGTTCACCTCTCTGGGCCATTTTGTCCTTTACCTCTTCTTGAGAAGCTGGTCAAAAAATGAATTTTATAAAAACCGTATAGACGCTTTATTCTTCAATACGTTGGACAGTCCAGGGGAGGAGTCTTGACAATGTTTCTCTTAAATTCTATTGAAAGAACATAGGCCAATCCCATGAAATAGTATAAATGTGAACTTTAATATTGTACAAATAGTAGGATGTTGCATTTAGAAAAAAGTATTTCCCTCAAAATGAAATGCTCCTTTTTTTCTGACATGCACAAATTTTCTAAGGAGTTAGTATTTAAATCTAAATGAAAGTATATTTGAAGCAGAATAAAAGAGTGATTGAATATAACACAGACAATGATCAGACCATATCTGACAATAGAACTGTGATCCACAAGTTCTGCAGCAAGCAACTCAGGAAGCCAAACCACAGCCTCTGCTTCAAACTTCAGGATTCGATCAATGACTGCAGTCAACACAGTCATATGAAATAGCTTTCTTACAGTTAGCATTCTTCCAATTTCCCACTGCCAACAACCTCCAATCAGGCCTGAAGTCTTCCCTGCTTTCATTCTAAAGCTTTCCCATTCCACTATCTGACTTTAAGTCTCTGCCAAATCCAAGTGATAGTAGCTGACTCTCTTGCTATAAGATGTCTTGGATAAGTAACCTCTGTTTCTCCATAGGCTTTTTTTGTGTGGAAGGCCTTTTAAAAATATAATAACAAAGAGATGAACATGTAAGGAAAATAGTGATAGCTTTAATTACATGAAACTGTGGGCTAGAGTTGTTGAGGGATTGGGAAACACATGCACTCTTCCCGGCCCTTGTTGAGTGTATTGGTAAAATTTTTCTGAAGGGCAATTTTATATAGTGTTTAAAAATAAAAATAAAAATACTTCATACTTTGGCTCAGTAATTCTACTTCTAATATTTACCCAGGTAGATAATTTAGAACTTGTAAAATATAATCTTATGTTTTAAAATATTTTATGTTTTAAAATTCCCATAACAATTGTTTATTATACATTTATTCTTTGCTGGAACTAAGGTTATAGGAATGATTCTATAGGCTTTGTTTATAATGGAAAAAATGGAACATCACAATTGTCCATCAGTATACATTTATTTACATAATCTTCTTAATACATTTGTTTACACTAATTATTTTTGGATGCTTGGTTTAGAAAAATGATCTTTTTTTATGTTAGGTGCTCAATACACAATAAATATAATTATTAACTATCCATAATCCCAAATTACTCTGGGTGGTGGGATACAATGTATAACCACAGGATGTGGTATTGCTCTCTAGAGAATGTCATCTATGTGCCAGATACTGTGCTATCTACATGATCTTAGCTGGTATGGATTTCACATTTCAAGGCAGCAGAATGATTTATAAAGCTACAATCTTAACTCAGTTTAGTACTGCTATAAGTGTAGTAAGAGGAATAAAACAGAGCCCACTAACATCCCCAAATATAAAAGGGCTTAATACATGGTAAAGAAGAATTTATGATAAGTTGTAAAAAATAGGTTATTACAAAAATTATATTTATTATGTTAGTTAAATAGTTAAAGGAAAGTAACCTTATTTTCTGATATACCCTGAAATTCTTTTCAGAGTAAACAAGAAAAATGAAATAAAAGGGCATCCATGTTGGAAGGAAGGAAATAAAACTATCTTTATTTGCAGGTGATCTGGTTTTGTATACAGAAAATCCCAAGGAATATACCAAAGAACTATGAGAACTAACAAGTTCAGTAATATATTAGAAAAACTATTAAAATTATTGAAAAAATTAAAGAATAACTAAATAAATTGAAAGACAGCCTATGTTCATAATAACAAAACTTAAGATTGTGAAGATGGGCAGTATTTCCCAAACTGATCTACAGACTCAACATAGTCTCTATGAAAATCTCAGCTGTCTTCTTAAGCCCTGGCTGGCGTAGCTCAGTGGATGGAGCGCGGGCTGGGAACCAAAGTGTCCCAGGTTCGATTCCCAGCCAGGGTACATGCCTGGGTTGCAGGCCATAACCCCCAGCAACCGCACATTGATGTTTCTCTCTCTCTCTCTCTCTCTCTCTCTCTCTCTCTCTCTCCCTTCCCTCTCTAAAAATAAATAAATAAAATCTTTAAAAAAAAAAAAAAGAAAATCTCAGCTGTCTTCTTTGCAGAAATTGACAAACTGATCCCAAAATTCATATGAAAAAGCAAGGAACTCAGTAGACAATCTTGGAAAAGATCATATTTAGGGGCCTCACACTTCCAGATTTTAAAACTTCTTATAAAGCTACAGGAATCAAGATGGTATAGTAATGGCATAAGGACATATAGACCAATGGAATAGAGTTGAAAGTCTAGATAAACCCTTATGTATACAGTCAACTGATTTTCAACCAGAGTGCCAAGAAAATCCAATAGTGAAAGAATAGTTCTTTCAAAAATGATGCTGAGACAACTAGTTATCCACATACCAAAAATTTTATTTAGACCCCCACATCATCCCATATACAAAATTTAACTCAAAATAAATCCAAGTCCTAAATGTAAGAGCTAAACCTCTTAAGCTCTTAGAGGAAAATATATGTGAAATTCATTACCTTGGATTAGGCAATCATTTCTTAGTTAGGACACCAAAAGCTCAAGCAACAAAAGAACTATAGGTAAACAGGACTTCACCAAAATGCAAAACTTTTGTGATTTAAAGAACACCATGAAGAAAGTGAAAAAACAATCCTTAGAATAGGAGAAAAATTTTGAAAGTAATGTATCTGAGAAGGGACTTATATCTGGAATATAGAGAGAACTCTTACTGCCTCGACCTGAGCGAGGAGGAGGTCCCTGAGAGGGGGTGATGGAAGATTAAGAAAGACACAGACACAGATAGTTTAAGGAAAAGTGGGGACCAGGTGGGATATCATCCTCTGATGGAGAGACAATGACCCTGAACATGGTCTCCTTGTTTATTTTCTAAGAGTTAGTTGGGTAAAGCTCAAGGATGTTTCACAGGCTCAGAGAAAAACTGCAGGCATAGTTGCTCTGTTTCCAGGCTATCTAAATGATAAATATTTCTTCTGCAAAAGTTATAGTTGCATTCAGCTGAAGCTTGTGGTTAACTATTTAACTATCTCCTTCTTAACCCCTGTGGGTTCTGGCTGTAGAACACCAGCCTTCACCATCCTCCACATCTTACAACTCAATTTTTTAAAAATCCAAATAACCTGATTTAAAAATGGGCAAAGGCACTTACAAAATAAGTCATGTAATGCATAGCATAAGAAACATAGTCAATAGTACCATAATAACTTTGTATGCTGACAGATTATTACTAGAGTTATCATGCTGATCACTTCATAAGGTATATACATGCCTAATCACTATGTTGTACACCTGAAACTAATATAATATTGTATGTCAGCTATAATTTAAAAATAAATTTTAAGAAAATGGGTAAAGGATCTGAATGATATTTCTACAAAGAATATGCATATGGTCAATAAGCATGATGTTCAACATCACTAGCCACCAGGGAAATGCAAATCAAAACTACAATGAGATACCACTTTATATACTTAGGATATATATAATCAAAAGGACAGATGCTCTGGCTGGGTAGCTCAGTTGGTTGGAGCCTCATCCTGATGCACCAAGGTTGTGGGGTTTGATCTAAGATCATGGCACATACAAGAATCAACCAATGAATGTGAAAGTTTTCTCTCTCCCTTCATTTCTGTCTCTGCTTCTCTAAAAGTCAATTTTAAAAACTTTAAAAAAGGACAGACAATAACAGGTGTTGGTAAATATATGGAAAACTTGGAGCCATTACACAGTGATGGTGGGTATGTCAAATAGTACAGCCACTGTGGAAAACAGCCTGTGTCGTAGTTTCTCAAAATGTTAAACATTGAGTTACCGTATGACTTGACATTTTCCCTTTTAGGTTTTTCCACAAAAGAAATAAAAAATATGTCCATAAGGGAAATGAAAAAAAATCTCCATATGAAAACTTGTATCCAAATATTGTCGGTGGCATTATTCATAATAATTAAAAATGGAAATATCCCAAATGTCCATCATGTGATCAGTGGATCAATAAATAGTATATTCATGGCCATGGCTGGCTGACTTGGTTGGACTATTGCCTTGTGTACCAAAATGTTGCAGGTTGACCCCCAGTTAGGGCACATATCTAGGTTGTGGGTTCAATTCCTGGGCAGAACATGTATGGCAGGCAACCAACCTGTATTTCTCTCTCACATCAACATCTCTCTCTCTTTCCTCTTCCTCTCTCTCTAAAATCAATAAACATATCCTTAGGTAAGGATTAAGTAAATAAATAAATGGCCCTGGCTGGTGTGGATCAGTGGGTTGAGCGCTGGCCTGAGAACAGAGGAGTCACTGGTTCAATTTTCAGTCGGGACACATGCCTGGGTTTCAGGCCAGGCCCCCAGTAGGAAGCATGTGAAGGGCAACCACACATTGATGTTTCTCTCCCTCTCTTTCTCTTTACCTTCCCTCTCTCTAAAAATAAATAAATAAAATCTTTTTAAAAATCACCTTAAAAATAAATAAAAACAAAATAGTATATCCATGAAATGGAATATTATTTGGCAATAAAAATGGAATGAAGATCTGATACATTCTAAAACATGGATGAACCTGATAACACTGTGTTAAGTGAAAGAAGTCATTCACAAAAGACCATTTATGGTATGATTCCATTAATATGAAATATCTACAATAGGCATATCCATAGAGACAAAGTAGATAAGTAGTTTCCTAAAGCTCAGGGGGAAGATAGGGTGAAATGGGTGGTGACTGCCAATGGGTATAAAGTTTCTTTTGGAAGTGATAAAAATATTCTAAGGTTGGCACAACCTGTGGTGATGGTGGCACAACTGTAAAT